AGCGTGAATATGAAACGTAACGTATCATTTTCAATTTAAAGTAAACACAAAAAGAACAAAGTATGACTGTATAATATTTTTATTAGTTCATATTACAATTAAGTCCGTATAATGTGTCTAGAAAAAAATATAATAGAATTTCCTACAACCTAATATTTTACTTGCTTTGTGAAAATATTAACATCCAACAATATTCCGATCTAACGATACCACGCGAAAGATCCACAGAGACCAATTTCGATTCGATCCAATTCATTATAAGGGAAGTCTTGTTAATTTAATTTCAAGCCGAGGATAATTATAGTTGCAGGATGAAGTTCTCGACCCGATTGAGGCAAGCTTGCAGCCGAGCCGAGTCAGCAGAAAATGAGCTGAATTGTTCGCTATTGTTTTGGCAACGACAATTGTCTACTTCAATGTTATACTGACAGGTAGGATGAAGGTAATTCAATTAAAAAATTATTTTGTTTAAATTTAAAACCAACTGAATCCTCAAATCGATTTGACACGATTTCATCCTATGGCAAGGCGACTGGGGCTGCCATAAGATACTTATGGCTTCCGACAGATGGAACAGACATCACGTTTATACCAGCTGCAAAACACATGACTGGCGACATGCTACCTACCACAGTGGACCACTGGCGAATTAGTTATAATTATTTTTTTGTAGCACTGTAAAACTGTTTAATATAATATGTTTAATGATAAAATCCATATTGATTTTTTTTTAAATAAGCTTTAATTGAATTTAAGAAATAATTTCCACATAATAGCGCCTGTAGTCGGTGCTAAAACACAGTGATAGTAATGACTCCTTGAAGTCGGCTTTTACTTTTCATCAAAAGTTTTCTTTTTAACCCCTTTGAGTGGACTAAGAGATATCACAAGCTGGATTATCGTTCTATTAACATAAAAAAAAAAAAACTTTATCCACTATTTTTCTAACACATTTTACGGTTGGATTTTTTAAATTTGTTTATGACCGTCTCTAAAGTTTTAACAGTTTAATAAATAATAATTTTAAAATCGGTATACATTTGACGAAGATATTTCGTAACATTTTTTTTCATATGATAAGGATGACAAACGTGCACACAGTCTACCTGGTGGTAAGTAGTTGCTGCGGCCCGTAAACATCTACACCTATCCTCGTAACATAAATACAAAAAAACCGGCCAAGTGCGAGTCGGACTCGTGAACCGAAGGTTCCGAACAAATCCGTAGGTATATAAGTTTAAAATTATTAAAAATATTTTTATTATATGATGTAACTAAAAGTTTATGCTTTTCGCTATTTTTCCTTTATCTGTGCTATAATACGTTGCTTTGTATCTAATTTTAAGATTCTGAGTTCACGGGAAGTACCCTGTAGGTTTTGATTCTCATGCGAATGTCGAAAATTTGATGAAACGTTTGATTTTTTCACAGCTTCAAGGGACAGTAGATTATTTGATATGAATTTCAGCTTGACACCTCCACGCGTTCCTGAGAAAAAGGGTGTAGACGGCCAGACAGACGGACAACAAAGTGATTCTATAAGGGTTCCGTTTTTTCCTTTTGAGGTACGGAACCCTAAAAAATCATCAAAATTGGTTCACCTAGAAATAAGTTCTGACGTAACGCACATAAAAAAAGTTAAATTGAGAACCTCAGCTTTTTTTTAAAATTCGGTTGAAAATGAAATCAAGTTAAGGCACCCTCAGTGGAGAACAAATTTATCCAACAACATGTGACGCAAAAAATCCAAACATAACTTCCTAAAAAGAAGACAGAGTCGAAATGAGAGCTTACTATTTTTATGAAGTAAGCTAAAAATTTAAACCAAATGAGTGAACATAATTAAGCAATGTTAGCGCAGGGAACTCAAGTAACAACAATTAAATAACTCGGTCACAACGGAAAAATAAAACATTATAATATGGATGAGACAATGGCTTGTGCCTGAATGAACCACGCTTGGGACTACACACAGATATCGCTCTTGGTAATAATGACAATAAGGTACGTTTTTGCATGGTAGCGTATAAAAGAAGCTTTTACAAACAAAAGACGCGTAACAAAGCATACAAAAATGTCAACATGTACGCTCATTCTTTGTTGGAATGCAAAACAATGATGCGACGGTCAACGTGTGTGTAAAGATCTCTTAATAAGGTGAGCGCAAACTCTTATCCAAATTGCAATCCAGATTATAATGATATTGTTTTATTTCAGTGGCTACGAGCTGAATTTTATTTTTATTCTTGATAAAATTATGCAATTGTAAATGGTGGGATCATCCCCGTTATAAATAGTTTTTTTATTTTATTTAAAAAAGGTAATTAAATATGACATTAAAATATTACATAATGATCCAGCATCGCTTTGAAGATCATTATGATCATTCTATAACATCACAAAACTATTGCTAAGCGTGGATCTAAGGCACGAAAAGTACGATACTAAGTCCAAGTCGATCCTCCGTACGCACAAATTTCTGTTTCTTGAATTTTAAATTTGAGGTAAGGTAAGAGTTATAAAGGGAACATTGCCAACTTTTCTTTCAAGTTCCAATCTCACATAAACATCGCGCAACATTTGCTAATTACCTTTGTAAAGCGGACAGATTGGAATTAAAAAAAAATTGTTGTTACTGTTATGATGTGACAGGAAATTTACTTTTAATAGCAATTAGAAACGAAAACGAAATTTTTATATATATTTATTGTTATGGTCATAACAAATATACAGTCAACAGTCATAACAATATATATTTCCTTATATATTGTTATGACCATTTTTTATTATTAAAATGTGAAGTTACAATCTAAATACCTTTCACGAATGAACACAATCCTCGTATTTTTTAGTGGGTTCTGAAACAAAATAAGTCCACTACGCTGCGCCAGTGCGTGCTGACAAACTTTACATGTCATCGAAATATTTTCTTTCTCAGATAAAAGATGTTTTAATTTCACACATTTTATAATAGAACTTATAATTGCAATTAACACTTTCGTTGGTGTCGGCAGGTCAATCAAAACACAGGTTGCTCGCCTACTGTACTTTCACAGTAGGCGAGTGCTTGTGCGGCGACCGCTAAGCTATCACGGCTCATTGTCTTAGCTATGTTATGTAATATTAACATTAAATTTTGGAAATTAATTTGTTTTTCATTCATTTCAGACTATCAAAATCCACTGCTCAATATAGACCTCCCCAAAGATTACCTCATAAGGAGCAGTAGGGATGGCAACCGCAGTTTTTTTTAACTTACTATTTGTTATTATGAAGTAACTACTGCCTATCTCTTATTTCGTTTCCTCCTGCCGCCTCTTATTACACTCACGGGATGATAGCGGGAAGTGAATATCCACACTACCCCATATAATACGTAGTCTCGTGGGTGTCAGGGGTGAAGTGGAGTATGTGGCAGTTTTAATTTTAGCAATAAATTTTAAGTTCTACAACTTTTTTTAATTAAGATTCATAATTCTTTTATTCAAATGTTTTCATTTTCCAGAGTGTGAGAGTGTGTGCGTGTGCGTATGCTTGTGGGTGTGCGTGTGCTTGTGCGTGTGCGTGTGCGCGTGTGTATGCGTGTGCGCGCGCGTTTGCGTGTGTATGTTCTAAGTGTCTGCAGCTATTAAAGTGTAGTTAGTCTACATGCATAGGTGCCAACTTTATGAGAAGGCTTACTTGCTACGTCGAAACTTTACGAATGAATTTCGTGACCTGAATATTTTAAAGGTGACATTAAGTACTTTAAAATCAGCTATGCATGTATATCGTAAACGTTTCATAGAAAGCATTAATAATAGCAACTATTTTCCTAAAAACATTGGAAATAGAAGTATCTGATATCTATGATTATATGTGGCCGAGCATTGTAAGTGACCGACATAGACCAACGGATTAGTAAGCTGAAGTGGCAATGGGCCGGCCATATAGCTCGAAGAACCGAAAACCGATGGGGAAAAAAGGTTCTCGAGTGGTAGCCTCATAGGCTAAGTGTAGGTCGACCACCCACTAGATGGAGTGACGACCTGGTAAGACATGCAGGAAGTCGATAAATGCAGGTTGTTCCGGAACGTGCTTTGTGGCATTCCGTGGGATAGGCCTATGTTCAGTAGCGGAATGCGGCAGTAAAGTAAAAGTAAAGTTACAGCCTATTACGTCCCACTCCTGGACACAGGCTTCCTCTCATTTGTGAGAAGGTGTTAGGGCTGGGAAAAGTCCGCCGCGCTGCTCCAATGTTGGTGGACTTCAAATGTCTTCGAAATTTTTTTTTTAATTTTTAAGACATGCAGGTTTCCTCACTATGTTTTCCTTCACACAATTTCAACAATTTCAAATGCTGATTTCAAATTGATATTTACAGTGAGCTCTTACCTCCTGACCTACCACGGCTCCTGTGGCAGTACGTTATAGTAATTTGCTCATAGGCTTCGGACATTACCTGTCAAGAAATTTGGATATCTCATAAATGTATGATACACTCTACTCTCGTAATTGTTAAGTATGTAACGTATTCGATAATATCCGCCATTTTATTAATTATGTTCTGATGACCTTTAAAGTAATAAAAAACTGCGATTGACAACCCGCTATAGGCTGTGACGATGATAATGACAATAATTTATCTAGCTATCTATTTATTTATGTTCTTGACTATCCCTCGCGGTCACATTTTACTAAAGCATTTAATCTGTAAATAGACTAAATAATCATATGTTTCACCACCACATCAGCCACGACAGTCCACTGCTGGACATGGGCCTCCACTATTAAGAGGGGTAAATGCCATACTTGCCACTATTAGCAGGCGGGTTGGTGAGAACAGTACAAGGTGTGATATTAACAAGAAGCGCTGCTGCCCATTCTTTGGATTTGTTCCTTAGTCGGTTTTTACGACACCCACAGGAAGAGTTGGGGCGGTGCTACTCTAACCCGGCACCACACTGGGCACACACTATCATATGTTTATTGGCTTATAACTGACTGATTCTTCAACTAACCTTTACTGGCGCCTGTGATTTTATCCCGTAGCACGTTGATCTGATGTACGCGGCCAAATTCCTCAAACATTTGTCGCAGGTCGTTTTCGTCCATACTCCGCGGTACTTGCCCCACGAACATCTGGAACAGAAATGTGGGAGTCATGACTGAACGATCTTGCAAAAGACTGTATGATATTTTTGACGTAGTACTATTTTACAGGTTTTACGAGCTTGACTTGTATGTATCTATGTATGTATGAATGAAATGGAATTTTGTTATTCTTTTTTCATCCAATTCTAGATGTGAGAATTATTTGAAATATTGCAGACGTATTAAAACATCAAGGATTAAGATCAATGCATGTTTTTTTTTAAGTTTTATTGAACTGTAATGTATTTACAACATTATATATATTTTTCTGGATATTTGGACAAAAAATATAACTAATTTTTAACTGCATAAATTATATTCAGTATACATTTTAACTGCTTTAGAATAATGACGTTTTCTATACAAGTAAGGGTGAAAAGAAGGGTTAGAGTACGTTGTGGCCAATAGACGCCTCAAATCTATCCTCGATTAAAGAACTGTATAACATGCCTAGTCGTATCTCAGGATTAAGTTGGAACGCCTCACCATATGAAATACAATAGCATAATGCTGATATATTAAGCTGCTAATATGTGAAATCGTGGTGCTTCTCCGGTCGACTGAACCCATTTGCTCGGTAGCCATATTACATTGTCGCTTGGGGTCACTACCATTTAAGGAAAATTAAGACCGAAGTTCTGCCATGTTTTCAACAAACTTTCAAAAGCATCTTAATTTAAGAATATAGAATTCATTAATTATTCAGCTTTCAAATAATATTTAAGTAGATAAATCTCTATTAATTCTTAAGAAGTTTTTGCCAACTCACTTAACTTACTAATTGAACCCGAAACTGAAATTCACGTAGTTCTATCGGCGTTAATAATAATTCATTAATAAAGAAGCGACTAATCAATACTTTCGTTGAAGATTAATAAATGATTGTTAAAACGAAAATAAGTGAAAGAAGCTTACAAATTTAACTTTTTTAAATATTAGATTGACACATGCCAGCGTGAGCAGATTAATGCTGCGTTGCTACGTATGATGAGAAGCGTAGACCCTTATTACTAACGTAACTTAACGAGGCATTCCATATTAGCGTTTAGGGTAAACCACACATCTGTATTTTGTTTCTTAATGTATGTAGGTCGTATGTGTCTATGAGCCACGCCATCCAATTAACATCAGGTGAACTCGCTTATCTTTACTTTTATATTAAAAATAATTTTCGATATGTAGACGACTCGCTGTTTATATTATTTATAGGTGTATCGGGAAAAGGTGTAAAAATATTTTTTAAATTAAATTAAGGTGACTAATGAGCTGACAGCCTACCTGATGGTATGTAACTCATGACGACCTGAAGTCAACTTAAAACAGGTTAGGAGGTAGATATTGTTACCCGAGGACTAAGAAGAGAATGCTTAGCAGCCTATAAATATACTGGCTCTTTCTTTTCACACCAGAACTAATAGCATAGGCGGCAGGATAAATAAGATAGGCAATCATATAGTTGGCAGGAATAGTGGTACCAACCCAAATGAACTCCTAGCCTGATCACGTGTTCTACCACCTAGGACCGTTAATTTTACAGCCTGCTAAAGTTAACTTATACACACTCCATATAATGTCTCATGGGGGGAATTTGTCATAGTTGCCACGCTTGAAAGGGCGTTGGCAAACGCAGTTTTTATTTTTAGTCGTTATTAAGAAGACGCTGTTGCCAATGTCCTGATTTGTTTCCCTCTGTCGCCTCTTACGACATACAAGGAATGATATGAGGTAGAGAATATAACCTAGAAGATATTATATTATTTTATGACAACGCATTTACATAAGTAAATATTACGTTATACAAGTGACTAAGCAATAAATAATACAAATCTTTTTTTTTTCTATCTAAAATATAACCAATTAGGGTTATATGTTTGCATTTTTTATCATAAAAAGGGACCAGTTATACATTCGATTGTACGTTATTTCTACTTAATTTTCTTTTAATTATAATTTCTTTAGACTGAGATGTTTTTTATTCACCTATATAGTTAGACAATTGTCCCTTAATGTCAGCTTGAAACCAGTTTTATTTTATATTGTATTCGCTTTACAAATAATTCGAAAGGGCGAAATGAAATTTATTTAAAATTAGCCACTCAAGAACCTTTCTTCCCCATCGGTTGTACGGTTCTTCGAGCTATATTGCCGGCCCACTGCGACTTCAGCTTACTAATCCGTTGGGCTATGTCGGTCATTCTGGTTCTACTGCGGATATCCTCCTTTCTAAGTTTATCACGCTGAGAAACTCCGAGCACCCTCTTCATAGCTCGTTGAGCGACCTTGAGCTTCCTCATACGGTCAGCAGTGAAGGACCACATGTCAGATCTGTAAGTCATCACTGGCAACACGCACTGGTTGTATAATTTCGTTTTAAGGTTTTGAGGTATGTCTGACGAGAAGATGTGTCGTAATTTCCCGAACGCTGCCCAGCCGAGTTGAATCCGTCGATTGACCTCTCGGTCGAAGTTGGAATTACCTAGTCGGACTATTTGTCCTAGGTAAACATACTCGTCAACAACTTCGAGCTGAGTGCTCCCAACAACTACCGGCATAGGTGTGACATGGACATTGAACATGATCTTTGTTTTGTCCATGTTCATCTTAACACCTATCCGTTGGGAGACACTATTGAGGTCATCGAGCATGGTGCTTAGATCCTCCAGCGATTCTGGCAAATCGAAGGTGAGTGATGTACTCGCCATTGATGTAAATACCTTATCCTTTCCAGTCTAGAAGCTTAAAAATGTCTTCCAATGCAGCGGTGAAGAGTTTCGGGGATATAACGTCACCCTGTCTTACACATCTCTGCAATTGGATAGGTTTCGTACTCTGGTTCTGTACTCGGATAGCCATCGTAGCCCTACTGTACAACCACTTCAGCACTTCGATATACCGACAGTCAACTTGGCACCGCTGAAGGGACTGCAGCACCGCCCAAATTTCGACGGAATCAAAGGCTTTCTCATAGTCCACATACGCAAGGCAAAGTGGCAGATTATACTCCTCTGTCTTCAATCTGCCGCAGGGTAAGTATGTGGTCTATGGTGCTAAAGCCCTTTCGGAAACCGGCTTGTTCGAGAGGCTGGAAGTCGTCAAGTCTGCGCGCGAGACGATTCGTAATGACTCTCGAAAACAGGACGTAGACGCGGCTCAGAAGGGAAATCGGTCGGTAGTTCTTCAAGAGAGCGTTGTCACCTTTCTTGAAGAACAAGACCACCGCACTTCTGCTCCACGCCTCCGGTGTGGTGGCATTACACCGGAGGCGTATTAGAGAACCATTCTAATCTCGCTCGGACTGACGTCAGGGATATCTTCGGAATAGTGTCGGATGAGACTCGCTCTTGGATCGTTACTCACACTTGCGTGTGGCTCCAACGATGACGTGTACAGCTGCCCATAGAACCTCTCAATCTCACTCAAAATCTCAGGTGTCCCGAAAACGATGCTGCCACATTCTGTCTTCAGCTTTGACAGTTGGCTCTTTCTGGCAGACAGATATCTGGAAAAGACTTTGGAGCCTTGGTTCCGCTCGATCGCTTCTTCAATACGAGCTGTATTGAAGTTGCGTAAGTCCCGCCGCATGCATTTGGAGATCTGTCTGTTCAGATGCCTGTATGCTGTCAAGTCTGTTGAAAAATGTAGCTTCATCTCCCGTCTAACAGCCATGAGATTAAGAGTGTGATCGGAGAGTTTTTGTGTTCTTCTGCGGCGGGTCTTGCAGAACTTATCTCCGAACGCATGGACAGTTTCCACGAGCTTGTCATTCATATCGTCCACTTCATTGCAGTTTTCTGGGCACTGAAAACGGTTTTGTAACTCGAACTGAAAGGTTTCAGGACTTTGGAACAGAGCACGAGGGGGACGGAACGTTGAATTCATTAGACGAGACCTCTCCAACTTAACGTTTAGGTTCAGTGTGCCTTTGGTTGTGGTTTTCACCGTCGCGATCACTGAGACATCACGGAACAGTTGTCGTCTGGTCGTCATAATGAAGTCAATCTCATTTTTTGTGGAACCGTAGGGGCTCGACCAGGTCCACTTCCTGTGGGACCGCTTCTGGAAGAAAGAGTTCATCATAAAGAGTCCCTCTTTCTCCATAAAGTCGGCCAGCTGCTGGCCCCTTGGGTTCCGTTGCCCTATTCCAAATTTTCCTACTTTCAGCTTACCGTTCTTTCTTGTGCCTAGTTTCGCATTGAAGTCTCCCATTAACACCGTATATTGGGTTTTGGAGGAATGCATGGCTCTAGAGATATCCTCATACATTTCCTCCACCTCCTCATCGGGGTTTGCCGAGGTTGGTGCGTAAACCTGTATGACCTTCAGCGAATACCGTTTGGTGATTCTGAGTATAAGGTACGCAACCCTCGTCGACACACTCTCGATCTTTACAACGTTGTTAACGAGAGACTTGCGGACGATAAATCCGACACCTCCTTGGGACAGATGGTCGCCCTCCCGGTGATAGAGCAAGTTGCCGGATTCGAGGATTACCGTGTCCTCCCCCTCTCTTCGGACTTCGGATAATCCTATAATATGCCAGCGTAACTTGTCTATCTCTTCTTCCAGCTCCACGATCTTCTCGTCAGTCCTCAGGGTGCGTGCGTTGTACGTTGCCAGGTTGAGTCGTCTAAGGTGGCAACCGAACCACCACCGGAGATTCTTAGCACCCCCTGCCCCGCTGTTACCATGGTCGCCACCGTAGTCAGGAATAGCGGGGCCACCGGGGACTGGGGGCCGTCTCTTTGTTACTCTCTTCGTAGGAGGGTATTTGCCATAGTTGCCACGCTTGGCCAGCGGGTTGGCAACCGCAGTTTTTTTATTGTAATTTCGGCTACTATCAGGAAGATGCTGCTGCCCATCTCCTGCCTGTTTCCCTTTGTCGCCTTTTAAGACACCCACGGGAAGATATGGGGTAGTGGATATTCTTGACCGCCACTACACGGCTTTGCTTGGGTGGAGTCAATTAATGTGGAATTCTTTAGATTATT